GCTCCCCGCCGCCCTGCCCGGCCTCTGCCGCCCCTGGGGTCCCGGCGTCCTGGGCGGGGGCGGTGGGGAGGCCGGTGCGAAAGCTGCCCCGGCGGTCTGTGGTCTGTAATGGAGCCGTCATATGCCGGCTGGGGGAAATAAAGAGGGTTTGGGGTTGTTTCCTCCCCCCCAGTTACCAAACTTCTGCCCCCTCCTCCCCATCTACCCCGAGATCGCGAAGGGTCGTTCGCTGTGAAAGGGGCAGATGATAAAATTTCCCCAAAATCCTTCTGTGTTTCTGGTGACGAGGAGGGAGTCCCCAAGGGAATAGAAAGGCAAAGCTTTATGCCGTCATTTAATAACTGTCTTTGAAACTCAGCCCGTCTGATGAATTGCGCCGGTGTTTCCAAAGGTTGGCTGCTGTCGAGGAGTTAAAGTCGTTTTGTACTTACTGGTATGTTGGTCCTACAAAGATGACACAGTTCAGCATTTCCATGTACAACCCCAGAACATTAAAACATTCAGAATCAATAGCTCTTCAATAGGCAATAGGCAGTATTATTACAGTGTCTTTGCTCCTCCAGATCTCTCTGACAAAGGATTTGGGAACTATCTCTTTATCTCTTTCTTGCACCATTTTCTTACCTAGGTCTGTTTTCTGTTTACAAGCCTGAAGATGGCTGCTGCTTCTTCCTGCAATGTGGAAGAAGACGAGAGCCTGAAGGGATGCGAACTCTATGTTCAGAAGCACAACATCCAACAGATTTTAAAGGAATGCATTGTAAACCTTTGCATAGCAAAGCCAGACCGACCCATGAAGTTCCTCAGAGAACACTTTGAAAAATTAGAAAAGGTCAGTGATTTTCAGGTGACTTTAAGTTTTCGATTATTACACTGAAAAAAGATTGTTTTAAAAGTTTCAAATATTTTGGTAATTTTTTCCTTTTAAATTTTAAATTATCAGGCTACTGTTAAAAAGCAGGCTACTAGAAGAAAAAAACTCAACCCTTTATTTACTCTACTAAATTATTGGCTATTGTATAGAATTTTGTGTGCATAACACCAAGATTATAATTTCTCATCAAACTGTGTTTGTTAAAAATGACCCAAAGAGTTATGAGTATACTTTGTGTTATGATACCTGGTATCCTTAATCTTTCATCTGTGGGAAAAACCTGCCTGTGAGAGCAAAAGCTGCTGTTCCCTGTTTATTCCAGTGTCGGGTGCTGTGGTTTTCCCTTCCCCTAAAACTGAACAAAATCAGGGAACCAGCAAGTTCTGAAAATCATTAAACTGTGTGCCATTTAATTTTACTGCTCTTGCTCATCTGTATTGCTTGTCCTAGGATCCAAGAAGAGATGCATTCAGAGAGACTTCGTATGCTGTAACTGTCTTCAAAAGCAGTGTAGAGAGGGAAACATTTTAAAATATTCTCAGACAAATTCTTACTGAAGCCTATGGGTATCTTTTGCAGGGATAGCATGTTCTGTGAGCACAACTTTTCTCTGGGGATGGGATTTCTCCAGAAATAAATGGGATCACAGGGCTGTGAGTTGTTGGTTGTACACATCTTCAGTCTGCCAGAGTCTTTATTCATATGCTTAGTTTAAGGAGAGGATTATTCGCTTTTTTTGAAGGAAACATCTAAAGTTTGTATGCTTAAGATATAAGATTCTTGTAGTTTTTTCTTTCTAGAGACAAAATTTTGCAAGGAGAAAGCAAGAACAATAATAACTAGTTAATAGTACATAGAGCTGATATATTACAGGTGATACAAGCATTTTATATGTTGCATTGTCCAATTTTCAGATAGAAATTTTTGTATAGGTGAGTATATACCAAATCTGTGTAGGTTTAAAAAAAATGCGAACATTGTGTTTTGGTGGAAACCCAGTAGGAATGCCTGGAACATGAGGGAGGAGTAGAAAGTACAAGCTGTTTTTTAATGTAATGCCTTTTATTAAAAAAACCCTCTTAGTTCTGCATATTCTAAACTTCTGAGAGCCAAGACCCATTTGAAGACAGTGTAATCTGCTGAATTCCCTTTATTGTGTTATGAATTTTTATCCCTCTTAATGTGTGCAATTGAAGACTTTCTGTCTAGGAAAATAAACACAATTTTTTGCAAAAAATATTAAAATATGCTGTAGCATTTTAGAATATTCTCCATAGCTAGTGGGATTACTTGAGATGTTGTACTGGAGGAGTTTGACAGACTTTCTGTCTAGGAAAATAAACACCATGTTTTTGCAAAAAATGTTAAAATACGCTGTAGCATTTTAGAATACTCTCCATAGCTAGTGGAATTACTTGAGATGTTGTACTGGAGGAGTTTGACTTTATTGGTCTAAATACAGTACACAGAATTGAGACAGGAAGGCAGTTCCTACCCTTCAGAAATTATAGATTCTTTCATGTAGTCTCCTGTTATTTCCCAAAGAACAGCAGATACCAGAATTCTGTAGCAGGATATTGATCAGGATGCAAAGACAGAAGCTGATGGATATCACTTTGTCACAAAATGAAAGGAAATGATTTAGAAACAACCAGTCTCAAGGTATCAAATTCAGTGAATATCATGTTTAGTATAGAAGGAAGCAGTCTTGACTGGCTCTGTAGAGCAGCCTGGGAGCTAAGCCTGCTGAATCTAAAGGCTTTAGGATGCTTCTGGAGGTTTCTGGCACTGTAATTCCTTTTCCTGCAGCAGTTTGACTTCCTTGCTCACCCAGCTCTGGGGACTTTCTTGAAATGAATTGCACTGTGGAGGATTTTCTGCTGTAGGATAATATTTTGACTTGTTGGTTGCATAATAACAGTTGAAGGAAGACTTGTAAAGATAGAGAAATAATTTCAATAAGTTTTTAGAAGACACTTGTTATACATAGGTACTCTGACTGAAGAATCTTAATTGAATTGTCAATTTAGCCATTGCCTGTTACAGATTTTTGTATGTGAGTGAGCAATACACTGATATGGCACGTTGCTATCAGCTGCTTTATTTTTGATCCTGTGTAGGGAGAGGAGTGACAATCTTTGGGTTTAAGCACGATTTTCTAAACAAAGTCATGCATTTTCCCACCAAAATGTGGTATTTTGGGGTTGTTTTCTGAACTCATTAAAATAGACAACACGTTCCACTGAAGAGAACGGTAGAATAACAGTGGATCTGTCAAAAAATCATGTGGGCAGTTTAGACGTGAAGTGTGGGATATTTTTCAAGTGGTTATAAAGGAGCTTATGGGAAATCTGTAGAGCTCGATCCACATCAAGGTACTGGAGGTACCTCAGAGGTGAATACCAAAGTTTACTTAATTTTGCTAATTTTTAGCTACATTTTACAAAATCAGCTGAGAAAAGCAAGATTTATTGTCATGTACAAGATCAGACCAGATGGTAAATGCTTTTCACCTTACTCATGATGACATCAGAGTTACATCTATTGCCTTCAGCCTTCATCTGTACTAAGTGAAGAAGGACCAGGGACTAACGCCTGACCCCATGACACTAACTGGCCCCAAATATAATTCTTAGGTCTAACAAGTCTAGTAGCAGGTTTGTTTTGGCAGGAGTCAGTACGAGCAGCTCAGAGCAGAGCCAGGCAATGAGCTAATAGTTGAGGGATGTGGACTGTCTTGGGCTAGTATTCAGGTCCATGGCTGGGCCATTTTTTATTTCACAGCATAGACATGGCCTGAGAGGGCTGTAAAGTGAGAACATGAATAAATACTTGTGAATAAAGTGCTAGAGACTGAGGTTTGATGTTTGATTCCACAGTCGTGGTTTTCAGCTGGAGAAGTGACAGGGTTAGAAATGCCTGATGCCTTTTAAGTTTGCAGCTTATTTGTATCAAGTACAATATTAAAAACTGTAACTCTGAAAATAATTGTAGGAGAACTTTAATAGATATTTTTCTGTTCCCTCAATACTGGCAGGACCTGCTTGTCTTAAGATGTCAGTAATTGCTGGGAATCCGCCTGAGTTTCTATATTCTGAAGTTTGCAAGTCAGTTTTTATGTGCTGTGACCTACGAACCTCAATGTGACATCTACTCTGATCAGCTTAACAGTTACTTTGTAAAAACCTCTAACATTCCATTGAGAACAGAAAAGAGTTGAGAACAGTTTAGAAACCCCAGATTTAAAAAATTAGGTAATGTTTTCTTTTGAATAATTTGTTTTACATTTCCCCATGACTGTATAGAACTTCTTGTTGGTGGATGGGGTGAGGAGAACCTTTCCCTTAGGGGTATTAATTGGCTTTTTTAGAGTGGGGAAATAGATGTTAGCTAAGAAACTGTGGCATTACTTTAACAGCTGTAATTAGGTCCTTGAGGTTTACTCGAGGGCTAAAGAAGGCATAGCAGAAAAAACAGAGAACCCATCTTTTATCTCTGGTTCTTACCTTATGTAAAAAAGTTAATTATTAAGAAGTTACAGGCAAAGCCTGGTATTTTCAGCTATACTGCGACTGCAAAAGTTTCATTAGTGTCAGGCTGTATAGTGCCATGATTATATGATCAAAGGTGGAGTTCTCTTGCCAAGCTAAACTAGACTGTTGTTCAACAGAAAAAAAATTATAATGAAGAGTAGAACTAATGAAGAAAATGGCACAAAAGAATGGGAAGCAGCAGGAACCTGCAGGATATGTTTAGGCATTACCAAGTACTTTGCTGAGGCCATTTTGCATGCAGTGTATTTCAGAGCAGTGGCTTTGCTGGCTGAGCCAGGTGATCTTTGCTGCTACGATCTGGACCTGAGCTCTTGCCTGGTCCCTTCTATTGCCTTGTGCACCTACAACAAATCCTGTCTTGCACATACTGGACTTATTGTCTTGGACTCCTGTGGATCTGCAGTGGTTTTATGGACCCAAGCTGCTGCTGCATGTCTTACAGTACCATCTGAAAAGAGAATTTTAGAAAAACTTGGACTCTACCATCTGTAATTAAATGAAGAAAAATGAGGTTATTTGCGTAGCTCCATCTGGTGATGTCAGACAGCATTGCACACACAGACCTGCTCAGAAAAATAAAGGCATGTGTGTGACAGGTTTGCTGTAAACTAGCACTGAAAAGAAAGTGTGTAGTAACTACAAATTCATTCACTGTTAGTAAAATACAGTTTGTTTATTTATCATAAAGAGTTTCAGAACCAAGGATATTTGAGCATCAAAATTTGAGCATTAGGCTTTTCTTATTTACCTTTTGTCACAACAAGTAATTTTTCAATCAGTAATTTCCACTAGAATCTGTCCAAAACAATTAAATTCATTCTTATCAGTACAGGTGGTTATGCTAAGTATAACTCATTCCTTTCAGATAAGCTGTGGAGAGGGTATGGATTAGAAGGAAAATCCTACAGAGGAAAAACTATTTAAAAATGCATTAACTAAGCAGTTTGATAAAGACTACTAAGACAAATATTTCTGTATCTTTCAAAGCTTGCAAAGCAGTCGGGTGTTGTCTGCTGCATGGTCAGAAATGTTATTCAAGCATGTGGGAACATACCTGAGCTACCTGAGACACTGATAGCAATGCAGTGGTGCCCTTGCTGTATGTCTGCAGTTCTGAGTAGGCTCGGGCAGGCTCTGCTCCTGCCTCTCCACTGATAGCAGTGCCAGAGAGAGCTGGGTGAAAATCAGCTCAGGTCAGACTGCTGTGGTTGCTGTGTAGTCAGCCACAGGCAGTGTTATGAGAGGTGACAGTTTTCTTGGAACAGGTAAAGGAAAAACCAGGTGAATTTTTAAAAGCCCTCAGGCAAACTTTCCTAAACACAGGAGGTTTAGGGAAGGATGGAAGATGAATTGGATAAGAGCAGAAAGAGAAAAAAAGTTTTTTCCTAAGAAATAAACTTGGTT